CAGATTGGCATGTACTTTCGACATGTCATTTGTAAGAATGATTTTATACGGCTGAGTGTCTGGCGTTTTATTGTAGAATGATGCTTCGGGTGTTATAATCACTTCTCTTATCCCTCCCGCGATATTTCTTGAGCCATAGCTCGTAGCTCAAACATTTCTAATTCGGCCACAAATCCTTCAGAATAGTTAAGTAAATAATATTTAGCTATTAGAATAATAAGTTGTAGAGAAAAGAAACAACAGTTGAAAGTTAATAATATTTTTATTTACTACAGAGAAGAAACAAAAAAATCAGCACTTAATCACTATCAAATTCAATTTCCGATTCGCTTTCGTCAGAATCGTTCCCTAAGTTAATTATGAACTCAAAATCCAGGTCGACGTATTTTAAGTATTCTTTTTCAATTTTTTCAACATGAGCACAGGTTTTTTGCCATGTTTCACTGGTTACTCTATCCAAGCTTTCAAAGATCAGTCTTTCCATGTTCGTCATGTTTTGTTCGATATTCTTTGATGCGATATAATGAATGCGATATAATATAATGAATATAATAATTCTTTAGTTTTTTTGTTTAAAATGGGTTGAAACCCATTTATACATTTTTTGAAACCCATTAACCAACAGCTACCTTTATCTCCACAAAAATCTCCAAACTAGTAACTCCTTTTTTTAATTTAGAAAAAACAAAATAGCTGGTAGCATGGTCCGAACTGCAGGGTGTGTGGTCAATTTCTGAAAAGCTTGTGTCTATTAGTGCCGGCTTTATCCTAGAGGTGTAAACTGATGCATTGCCTTGCAAGAAAAGCACACTGCATACTGATCGACAATTTCATGTGTTTGAGTCAATAAATTAGCGTAGTATATTCACCATTTATTGTAGTTCTCTAGGCAGTTAGTCAATTAATAAAACTTGCTATCACAGAAAATGGTGGTTATAATCTTCCATACAGACTTTTACACTTTGAATTCCTCAGTACAGACTTTTATACTTTTATGACCTCACTTTTTGTTTTATCCATTGAATAGATTCTTGCTTGGATTCATGATCATATCCATGTTTCATCTATTGTGGATATCCAGTTACAAATTTCATCCAAATTGTCCCTCATCAATGCTCATTGAAAAATTCATTGCAACCTTGTCAAGCTGTGTGAGCACCAATGTGCACTTATTTTTTTCCAACCGTTTCTCCGCTCGTTCTTTGGTGATAAATAATCCTTCAGCTATTTGCCACAATTCTGCAGTTGGCCAATCAATAGTAATTTGTTAACTTTTTGGATGTTTCTTCAGTCACAACAAGCACCAATTCTCATGGAAGAGAATCATCATTGCATGTCTCTCCTTGTTTAAATAAGCATGCCTATTTTTAAACAGTTGTATAGGACTGCTCAGTTTTCTGAAGAACCAATGATATCTTTTCGGAAACATATTTCTACAAGAAGTTTGATAACAGGACCATGCTCCAAATTATGCAAATTTGGGTTCTCAGACACCATCCTGACAATAAGATGGTAATAATTTCTCTTCAGTAGACTCTAAATATTGAGGTATTCCAAAATATCACCATTATTTACATTCTTTCGAGGTCGTCTTTGACGGACATTGTGATAGAATTGATTGTGAATAAAGAAAAATATAAAATTGAAATTGGAGTAAAAAATAATTTGGACACTCACAGTTACACGATGTTCAATTCTACTATCATTATACTTATTTGCTGCACGTGGGCGACAGTGAAATTAGAGAAGCATGTGGTTGAAAATACAAATATACTGTTTGAGTTAAACAGATTGGCATGTACTTTCGACATGTCATTTGTAAGAATGATTTTATACGGCTGAGTGTCTGGCGTTTTATTGTAGAATGATGCTTCGGGTGTTATAATCACTTCTCTTATCCCTCCCGCGATATTTCTTGAGCCATAGCTCGTAGCTCAAACATTTCTAATTCGGCCACAAATCCTTCAGAATAGTTAAGTAAATAATATTTAGCTATTAGAATGATAAGTTGTAGAGAAAAGAAACAACAGTTGAAAGTTAATAATATTTTTATTTACTACAGAGAAGAAACAAAAAAATCAGCACTTAATCACTATCAAATTCAATTTCCGATTCGCTTTCGTCAGAATCGTTCCCTAAGTTAATTATGAACTCAAAATCCAGGTCGACGTATTTTAAGTATTCTTTTTCAATTTTTTCAACATGAGCACAGGTTTTTTGCCATGTTTCACTGGTTACTCTATCCAAGCTTTCAAAGATCAGTCTTTCCATGTTCGTCATGTTTTGTTCGATATTCTTTGATGCGATATAATTTTTTAATACCCCAAATATTTTCAATAGCATTTAATTCTGGGTGATAGGGGGGAAGACGTATGACATCAAAACCCTTGCTCTTAATAAAATCATCAATTTTATACGTTATGTGTTCATCTTTGTGTTTTTTTATAATATCGTACAATTCCAATTTAAGGAGAGATTGCTCAAATGCTAAACCCTTATCCCTGAGCCATTGCTGCATGTCTGCTTTCTTTGTAGCCGACGTCGGTAGTTTTTCAGTCCGTGTGTTGTGATATGAAGCATTGTCTAAGACAATGACGGAGCGTGGGGATAAATTGGGTAAAAGTTTTTCGTTTAGCCATTTAACATAATTATCGTAGCTCATATTAGAATGGTAATCGCCAGCTGTTGAGTTGGCTTTATAAATCAATGAAGCATTTTCAATAAATCCATCCTTTGTACCCGCTTACACTAATATAAAGCGAGTGCCTGTGCTAATTTTTTTTAAGAATGGTGTACTCTCTTTCTTTTGTGCCCAGGTGTTGTTTCGCACGTGTGTTGAAAGGACATAACTTTCATCGGTGTACACAATTGGGCGACCTTGACTGCGATATTCTGACATCTTCAAAAATTTTAAACGCCACATTTGTATATCATGACGCTCCGTCAAAACTTTACGGTTATTCTCTGTTTTACGCCACTTGTAACCTAACTTCAGTAACAATTGACGAACAGTTTCGATACAACCATCAAAACCAATTTTTTCATTTAATACAGTTTTTAATTTAGCCAACGTTGGAATTTCTTTATGGATGACATGGAAATTTTGCATAGTACTGCGAACAACATCGGCTGTAAAATTATCTATTTCTATCTTACTATCCTGCTTTCTTCTTTTCTTCATAGGAGAAGTGAAATTTGATGAGCAGGATGGCAATTCCTTCTCTTCTTTTAATATCCGTTGAACAGTTTTCATAGAAACACCTGTAGCCTCAGCTGTACGCCTTGTAATATCTCGTAAATGAGACAAATCACAGTTAGGTTCCGCAACTGATTTTGTGAATTCATACTCTTCTCGCAGGAAATGATAAACGCTAGCTATCATGCTTCGACCCTAGAACAAAACCAAATCGAAATACCTATTTAAGTAACAAATTTTATAATATTAGATAGATAAACTCTTAATAGCACACAAAAAGTAGTAACAATAGTTAAAAAAAATTTTACCTCACTGTGGACAACTTTTCTGCGTTTACTTGCCATGCTGACGTTACTCTTTGAATTTTTTTAGCGCGAAAACAAAACACTAGTGACTCTGACCGCGTCGCGATCGTGACTGAGCGCTCCCGAGGTTACGCACACTAAAACAGTGTGCACGTACAGACTTTACAACATTCATAGTCAAACGGACTTCGTGAAATAGAATATCTGTAACTCTATACACTCTGTAACCCGTCCAAATAGTACTCGTCATTTTTCTCTGCAAAATAATTGTTCACGAATGTGATTGCCTCTTCATTTGACGAAAATCTTTGTCCTCCGAGCGCAATTTTTAGATGAGGGAACAAAAAGAAGTCGCTTGGGGCTCTGAGATCTGGTGAGTAAGGCGGTCAAGCAGTTCAAACCGTAATTCGCGGATTTTCGCCTTTATAACCGCTGAGGTGTGAGTGTGGACGGTGCGTTGTCTTGGTGAAACAAGATCTTCTTTTTCTGCAAATGTGGCCGTTTTTTCGTAATTTCTCCCTTTAGCTTATGAAGTAATGACGCATAGTATTCTCCTGTAATGGTATTACCTTTTTGAAGATAATCGATTAAAATAACTCTATGACTATCCCAAAAAACAATGGCCAGTTTTTGCTTTTTTTGAAGCCGGTTCCCCCTTTGCAGTCCACTGTTTGGATTGTATATTTGTTTCGGGCGTGTAATAGTGTATCCAAGTTACATTACATTGTGGATAATTTTTAGGTTCAAAATGAAACATTCAATTCAAGTTTAAAAAAAAGACATTTATTACAATATATTTTCGAAATACCTACCTCCCACTTCAGTACATATCCTACAACGCCTCAAAAAAATTTGTTTTAAATTTATGAAAGCATTTCTGTTTTCTTTTATTTGTTCTTCCGCTTCACACAGTTTCTGATGCATCTCTCCTTCGGAGTTTGACACGCGCATAAACAATTTATTTGTAATATCCCATAGGAAAAAGTCTGTGGGGTTTACGAGGGCTGTTCAAAAAGTTATGAGAATGGCTATGTTAGAGAATGAATTAATTTTTTTTCGACGTAATCACCCTGCAAGTCAACATATTTAGCAAAAATTATTTTATTGACATCCTGAAACCACATTTACTGAGACAGAATACTACATACAGGGAGGCTATAGAGCCAGAAGAACGTCTTGCTGAGTGTTTAAGGTATTTATTGAAATTAAACATTGGATGCATTATTACTTATTAAAATCTAAATATTGGCCGAGAATCTGCGTATTTTGATCCATTGCATGTAAACGTTCCGTATAGTTAACATTTTCTTGGGAGGACATCATGTGCAGAGTTTCTTCATGGCAGATTTAGGAGGAGGGGGAGACAGCATATATTTCACAGATGGTTTCGAAGCGATGGTTGTGATTTTCTCCATAGAAGGCGAAGTAAACATCGTTGTATTTGAATGAGTAGGTGCCGGAGCCATTACAATTTTCACTCTCTCTCTCTTTCATTTGAATCAAATGTCATAAAGATTAGCATCAGGATATTCTGGATTGATTGCAGTTGTCGCAAGCCTCATCTCCACGTTGTTAACCATTTGAAACAATTGCGATTTAATTTCAATTTGGTCTCGTAAAGGTAAAGTCATTACTGTTTTAGCCATATTGATGAAAAGATCAATCAGAGGATTACTAAGATTTCTGCTTTGTTTCTTTCTTGTTAAGTATTGTTGTAGAACGTTGGCTGCAGTTAAGCCTTGTGAAGTTTGTGAAGCTGCGTAGGTCAATTTTCTACCGACAGTTCGAACGGATTCTATGGATTCTTGACTTCCTGCATCACTTGTAGCTAAATTACTAGAATCAGACGGTGCTCCAAGCTGTGTTTCGTTGTTAATAACAATATTAGGCGATAGGTTTAGGTATGGTGCTAGGAAAGAAAGTTCTTGGAAGAATTTGGGAGGTTTTAGTTTCGATGCTGCTTTGCTTTTGGTCTGACGCAAATTCAAAGCCTTCCTATGTTTGTCTCTGATTCTGGTCCATCGCTCCAATCATACATTGCCTGTAAACATTAAAAAAAAATTGTTTTAGGTATTTAGCCACTCGGAATTCTTTTAGGTCACTGGCATTTTCCTTCAGGATTGGCGAACGTACAGTGCGAAGAATTGTGTATTCGACCTGCGAAGCCATTATTGAAATCCTACAGCCCATAGTGATGCCAAAACCTTCTTAAGATTGAATCAGAAAACGCTTTTACGAGAAATGGAATTTTTCCAACACAATCGCTGCCATTGATGGAACACACTTGCTTATTCAAGCACCACCGCACAGTTGTTCAAATTCCTTTTGTTATAAAAAACACTAGTTTGGTACTGCTAGCCTTAGTCGACGCAGATAAAAAAAATATCGTCGTAGATGTCGTTGCTTTTGGTAAGAACTCTGATGCTAGTATTTTAAGAAATTCGAGTTTAGGCAAAGGTTTACAGGATGGCACTCTAAACATATCTCCACGAAAAATACCACCAGGAGGCACTGAAGCACTACCTCATGTCATCATAGGTGACGAAGCTTATTCACTGTGCACGTATTACATACTCTCGAAACGATGCCGAAAGAAATGAAGAAAAAAAAGTGTTTAACTATCGGCTCAGTCGTGCGAGAAATACTGTGGAAAATACATTTGGAATATTGGCAAGAAAATTTAGAATTTACGAACGAAGATTGTTTATGTACAATACAAATATTAACTTTTTCCCAATTTCCTCCCAGATATTCTCTCTTCTTTGCTGGTTAGAATAGTTAGGGTTTTTTAAATTATATATTTCTTAGTACTCTTTTGCAGTTAGTCTTCACGCATCCATGGTGCAAAAACAACGTGTATACACGATAAACGCCAAAATGCAAATAGCCGATGATGCGGAGCGACCGCGCGGGGTGCGTCATTCCGTACATTCCGTACGACATTCCGTATGACGTCATCGGCACGCATCGCAAAAGTTGGCTCTCGGAGCAGTGGTACGATGTGGACAGGTGGACACACTTATATGAGTTTCTATGCAATGAATACTACGATCCGTTGCGTGCGATGCGTGCGATATCGACAAGTGGACGCTTACCTATGGACGCGACTCGCGCGCTGCCTTCTCCGCCGTCAGCGGCGTGTACATAACATGAGCTTTGTGAGCTATGTTGTTTACACAGCACGCATTCGTGATCTGCGCAGCGGCTGTGGGGGTGTAATGTAGTTTTCTGTCCACCAGCAGGCACCTGTAGGTAAAATAAATATTATGTAAAGTGCAAAATTATTTATCCTAATAATAATGAAAGATTAACCCATCAGTCCCATTGGTGCAGTTCATATATTACATTGTGTAATTGCAAATCTAAATGCTGAACTGGCGAGTTGAAAACAATCTATTTTGAAAATGCATAGGTGTGCATCTATGCAACACTCCACAACATTTCTAGCTGCGAGGTGGACATTTTGGTAATGCTCTTGAGTACCTTCTTCAGCGTTTGTGATGGGAATCATCATTATTGACCTCAGGGTAGACATGCGCGCCGGGCAAAAATTTCCCGGCGGCGGCGCGCCGACTTGTTATGGTCGGCGTGGCGGCGCCGCGCCGGCGCTTTGGTCTTTTTTTTTTTTTTTTACTTATTACAGGTAAGCTCTTGGCCTCAGTCATGCAGACCTGCCGTGCCGCGTCAGCAATGATGAGGCCTAAGATGGAGCGAGCTTACCTGGAGATTGCCCTAAGGCACTGGATCTTCCACGCAAAGACGGAACACAGCAAGCTGTTATGGCGCCAGACTCCGGTGGAAGGGTAGTTGCGACCCAGGCGGACCTTCGCAGGTCCTACTACCCCGCGTTGGGATCTTTAGCCGTCTCCACAAAAGTGGAGCCGTTGCCCAGGGTGGACCGCTAGGAGGTAGATCCCAACCACCCCAAAAAGGACCAAAAGGTCTTATTTTTTTAACAATATTTCTTTTAAATGAAGGAGTAATAAATAAAACATATAGCTAGATAGGAACTTAAATTTATTCAACAACTCGTGGAAAAGAAAACATTAAAAGAAAATTATGCATTTAAATCGTTTTTGCACAATGTATAGTTGTCGTGAATAAAAATTATTTTATTTACGCGCACTGGGTTAAGCCTAGACCTTTTAGCTGTTACAGTAAGTCCCGCTATAGAAAAAACGCGCTCGCTAGGCGTACTGGTAGCAGGGATTGCCAGAATAGCCCTTGCCAGTTGGCTCAAGTGAGGAAATGTTTTTGATTTATTTCGCCAATACTGTAGGACATCGTCGTCTACAACGTCACTAGCATTAGCAGCTGCCAAGTACCTCCAGCATTCTTGATCAACTTCATTAAACTCAACAGAAGTTAAAATAGAGCTAGTGCTGCTGCTGCTGTGTTTCTTGGAAAGCTTTGACAAAATAGATTCATTAGAAGTACTAGCAAGAACAGCAGGAGGTGATGTAGCCACCATCGTGGAATGATTTGAAATATTGGGCTGTATTTTTATGTACTCTGCCAGAAATGCAGCACGAGTAGTATTTTTTTGTTCAAGGTACGAATCAATCTGACTCAAGCTTATAAAACGAGGATCCAACAATGCCGAAACAACAATTTTATCAGTGATTGGGAATCGTTTGTCTAATTTTGCCAACATTTTATTTTTCAGTGATAGCATTATTAGCGTTTCTTCGTCTGATAAAGAATTGAGGATATCTCTGATTTCCAAACGAAACACAAGGGCCAAATTAAGCGAAGCTGTTTTTTGTGTCGATAGCATTTCCACTACTTCACGGAATTTACGTAGAAACCGAATAAGATCTTCTAACAAGTTCCACTCCTGTTGGTAAATTTTTAAATCATGTTGATTGACTTGTGCTAATAAATTATTAACAGGATTTCTGTTGCAAAAGTGTGCTAGACTTTCTAGCATAGCTAGCATACTATGCCAACGGGTTGGCGACGAAGTTTTGATACTTGGCACATGGTTTATGCTACCAAATTCATCGCTGTTCGTTTGTAGTCCTGAAACTGAATGTGAATCCGACACCTCATCATCAATAATTGGCTCATTTTCATCCATTTCCAAATGTTCTGATACGCGCTCTAGAGACTGTAGAAATTGAATCTGTTCTTTTTCTGCCTCTCGCTCCAAGTCCGGTAAACGATAACGAACGGTTTTCACAATCTTTTTACACTTTTTTATTAAATCTGCTAATTCAGGAACACTGCCAATACCGTCTACAGTTACCAGGTTGTGCAATGCGTGCCCTAAGCACAAATGGCTGTCCAGTGCGGCAAGCGAAATGGCGCGTTTAACATTTGACCCTGCATCCGTCACGGAGTGGAGTACTTTTTCCTGGAGATCAAAGCACTCTTTTGTCTCGTTTAATGTTTCTTGAATTTTAGCTCCCGTCTTTTTGCCCTCGATAAGCTTAGTGCACAACGTGAATGATTTTAACTCAAAATCTGTAACATAAGTAAGATTAATTAATGGTTAATTAGGAAAATAATAATAGATAACATTAATAATTATAAATGTTTAATAGAGTTACACGACTTACCAGCAGTTAAGTAATGAAGAGTGAACGTTATGTAGCTCAGATGTCTATACTGATCAGTCCACAAATCAAACGTGATAGCGGCATGTCCAGCCGCATCTGTTTTGATTTGAACTTTCACATTCTCCAGCATACTTTCATAGACATCGTCGAGAGCAGTGCGAGACACTGTGTCTCTAGAGGGCATATCTTCTTTACAACTGATGATGTCATATTTCTAAAATAATAATCGAATTATTTGAGTAGGTATATTAAATATACAAAATAGCAAATCAAAGTTTTACTTAAAGTAACTCTATAAACTTACTTGGAAAAAATCGTTCATGCCTTCATCTGATACCGAATCGAACGGCATTAAAGACTTGCAAAACCAGAGAGCCATATCTCGTGCAAGTAACCATGAATCTTTATTTTTTATCAATGAGCTGCTTGGAGTTCCAACTGTTGTTTGTGAGCGGCGTGGTTGTATTTGAAAAAACTGCTCGATATTTCTTGTAGCTTTACCAGAACTTTCTTCTTTTAAATTATGGAAATCTCTTAAATGTTTGATAAGATTGCCTGTACTGACAGTTTTGACGTAAGATTTTATTTTAGCCCTGAAACAAGTTTAATAGAAAGATGCAACAACCACATGCAAAATGCTATATTGAAACAAGGACAACCCAAACCCATTAAACAAATTAACAAACCTATAGCTTGCAATATAACAAACCTATATCTATAGCGCAATACCAAACAACCTTTTATTAAAATTGATTAAAATAGACAGTGCATAATGACAACGCAGATGTTGTAATTTATAATACCTATTCACTATTTATCAAACAAACAAGGATTTTACATTTTATTTACCATAACCACCCGCATCCATCATTCAAGCAATACTGTAGGTACACACCACGAAGCAAAAACAAAGGTACACACCTACGTAAATACGTAGGTTAGATTTTATTTTATTTGTACAAGAAATTAGTTTGCATTTACCTAAGTTAGCTAAGCTAGTTACATAGGTTAGATTTTATCTTAAATTAGTTACACCCAGTTAATTTGCATTTAAGTTAGCTTAGCTAGTTAGGTTAGGTTAGATTTAGTTAGGTTAGATAGGATAGATTTAATTTTAAGTTAATTACGAGTAGTTAGTTTAGGTAGTTAGTTTTAACTAATTATTATACAAGTAACATACTATATTGTTTGTTGCAAATTTCAATACGAATTACGAACGAACAAATATTTATCCTTTTCTTTGCGAAGTTCAGCATTCTCTCATCATGACGATGGACTATGACGATCGCGATGTCGATGGCCAAAATGAAAAACTAAAAGTTAAAATACAGTTGACATTTTGTGATTATAAATACTCGTAGGTAAGAGGTAGATACTTACATACTAAGTAAAACCTAATAAATAGTTGAGGTTAAACCTACTAATAAGTTGGCGAGTGAGCTACTTACAATCCAAATGATATTTCATCATTCTCTTCTTTGGCACCAGACAAGCATGCATTGCAAAACACTTGATCATTGCACACTTTCCTCTTTCTATTATCCTCTTCGATAACTAAATCACCAAAATACCGCCAACAAAAACTTGTCTTCAGTTTGGCGTCGTATAAAATAGACACCGAAAACTGTTTAATTTTAGTGTTCTTGAAGGTTGTCATTTTTTTAGTTATTGACCGCACGTGCGATCCTGTGAACGAATTTTGATGTAATGAAATGCCCAGCCCGGGTCGGCCGACAAATCGCCCGCAGTCAAGTCGCGACAAGTCGCGCGGAGTTCAATCACCTCGGCCGGCGCGCCGGGCAAATTTCGCGGCGGCGGCGGCGCAGCCCGAGCTCGGCGCGGCGCCGCCACGCCGGCGCGGCTCGCATGTCTACCTCAGGGGATAGCCTGAATCAGCTGTTAAAAAACCTTAGGTATTTAATTTGTTCACTTGAACAAAAGAATATTAAGTTAATTTAAATAGTCACTTGAAATCATTGTAACAAATTAACAGACTTACTTAAAAGATAGACATCTTCTCTAGAAACTCGATGCAACCTTTCCAAGTAATCAGAGGATGATTGCCCCACACAACAATATCATGTGTGGACCCAGGGTAACTACTAAAACATAAAATATTTAGATCTGTAAATAAATCCAATGAACACGCAATTAAATCTTTAAATGTTGATTTATTTTCAATGATATAATATCATGTAATTTATTGGACACTTACTATCATAACATTCAAAGAATGGTATCTTTTCCTGTTGAGGAATTTTTCCTCATTCTCATGAGGACATACAATTGCAATGTGGGTTCCATCAACACAACCCAGCAATCCCGGTATTCTAAACTTTGTATAAAATCTGAAATTTTAAATATGTATATATAAAAGCATAATATTTTTTAAGGTATATTCTCTTAACATGGTATCATACTGAATAAAATAAATTTATCAAACGATAAATGTATACATACTCTCTTTTTATTTATTCTCTTTCACATTGATGGAATGAAAATGATATAAATTTATTTGATATAGCGGGCATATTTAATGTCATTGTCACTTGCCGAACCGCTTTAGATACACTCGCTTGCGAAACACAGTGTCCGGCTATCTCCAACAATAGTCTGGCATGATTCAGTCGCATAGAATGCTAATGCAACTAGCACGTGCAAAATATAATTTGTGCCATATGCTTGAATAGTTCGCACACCAAGTAAACTTTCAAAGGTACCGGAGAAAGGTTGATATGTTAGGTTAGGTATTAATACATATTTACTTACCTTAGTATCAACGTCCAAAACATCCGCACGCAAGGTGGGAGGCATATGAGGAGTTAGCTCATTAATTCAATTACGAGCTAACTCTTTTGACAGTCTATAACGCTTAATAAACTGTCAATCTCCTGATGAAAAAGCTTCACTTCTTATTCTCGCGCGCAAGTTCTCTTTTTTAGCATGCGCTCCAGCAACCTATACGTCATACACGTGGGCCCTTTCCAGAAAGTCCAAAGGAGAATGGGTAATGATGTATGGAGTTTCGTTTCAATTTTTTTTTTTTTTTTTTGGTATCTTGATGTAACCTACATCATTTTGTAGGGTTTTGGCATTAGATTCAATTAGATTCAAAAAAATTATTACTCTAATTCGACGGCTTCATGAGAAATAAGCTGCTGAAGTTCATCAAGTAATAGGTAATGTTATTGAAACCGGTTTGTATGTTTTGACTTTGTCTTCTTAATTAAGCCAGCCAGTGCAATTACTGGGTATCATATTTATATAGTGATTCTGCTGTTTTACAAGAAAACGCGAAATGTTTTGGACATGTTTGACATAAGGGAGTTGTAGTGAAACACACGTTGTTAGTTTAACACTGCTTTATTATTTATATTAAATGTACCCTCATACATTTAACAAGTATACCGTACGACAATATACTACAGGAGTTTTTCATTTTCGTATGTGTATTCATCAAAAATATCGTCTAGGAATTGAGCTGGGGCTGTTAAATCATTATATCTACCCCAACCTAAATACCAAAGCACTGACATGACATGGGCGCAACATCCCACCGTCTTATTTTCCACAAGACAGCTGCAGTAATAACCTAAAACAGCCTCTACAGTATTGGCAACATTGTCATCTTTACTCAGTAATAAATAGGTGTAATAAGTCCTGCTGCTAATATGTCTAGACTTTATTCTGCCTCTTAGTAAATAATTATTACTACCTAAACTAAGAGGCAGATCGTCTTCAATTTCATTATTAACCTCTACTGTGTAGGTGCCATTTGCTCGCATATGCTTACCATAGTAAGAACGAGCTTGCTTGAGCTGGTATGTTCCCAGTGCAATATGTTATTGGTCTGATATTATCAGTCTCGGGAACTGGTTTAAATGTGGGTGGTTAGCATCAATAGTCACGAATGTTGCTCGACGCCTGTTTAAGTTTTCCCTTTGCACAGTATGAGCTAAAACATTGTCAAGGTGAAGTTTTTGCCTAGAAATTCTTAAATATTCCGATGCTTCAGGTATATCTTCTATAACTGGATCTACGCCCGGCAGGTTGTGTTGATGTTATTTCCTTTTTCCTCTTCCGTCGCGGTGGGTTCGAGTCCTGTGGCGATCTCGGTGTTGTTGATTCTAGTCGTGGTTTTTAGATTTTGTCTCAAATCACCTGAAACCTGGCAGCTGATTAACTTTTTCGATGGAGGTATGAACGAAGATATGGGTAATCGCACTAGGAGTGGTTGGTGGGGTGCGGGTGCCTTTGGAACTATTAGTTTTGGTTTAGGTTTTGGTGCGTGTTGTGGTGGTTGCAGTTTGGTTGTATCTATCATCATGTTCTGACCTTTTCTGCCTGTCCTCGTGGCCGCCAGGCTCGAGGTGTTCGAGGGAGCTGTTTGCATGACTGGCGCCTTTGTGTCTGTCTGAACGCTAAATTGCTTTTGATTTTGCTTTTGAGTTTGGGTTTCAGTCGGGGGTTGACGCTGGAGTGCGGGCAGTGCGGTGATAACCTCGTTCAGGGCGTCAAGAGCTAGGTTTACGAGACTACCGGGGGTTTGAGTACTGTTAGAGAGCTGTCGTATGTTTGAGTATGTGCCGGCGATTGGGAGTGAAGGATGAGAAGGGTGTTGCCGTACTCGTCGCACATGTGATCGAGCACGTTCCCTTCCTCCTGGATTTTTCCCTCATCGCATTCCGGGTGCTCCCGCCTTTTTGGTGACTCCTCTGTGTTGTTAGGGATCTTTTCTCTTTGTTTTTTCAGTGTATCTACTAAGTTGACGACTGATCGGGTGAATCTATGATGAGCGATGATACTGTTGCTGATATTTCTGTGTTGAGTTTCTATGCAGTGCAATAGTTCTTGGATTAATTTTAATTCAATTTTATCTTCCTTTAGGAGAGATTCGTCCGCATTCTGTATGATTTCCCTTAATCTAACTGCGGTGGGACATGGTTCCTTGCACTGGTGAACGAATTCCATCTCCTGTCTTTCTTGCTCGGTGATGTTCTCCAGTCCCACCGGTGGAGGGGAGCCAGTGTTCGGGCTCAGGGAGAGTAATGCTGGCACGAGTGTGGACATGGATGTAGGTGTCGGAAGATGTTGGTGTTCGTTTATGTCGTTTGTAAGTGTGTATGTATGCTCGCGCGTGCAAGGAGAATTATGAGTTGTTACTGTTTCGTTATATTTATTTTTATTTTAGTAAAAATCACTTGGTCTATGAGATGTGAGTTTTAATGAATTTGCTAAATTTGATGCGCTTATATGTTTCTGGGACTCGCGGAAGGTATATTTATATGAATGTGGACGAATGTACTGCTTTGAGTGCGTGTACTAACAAAAATGGTTACTGGTCCTACCTTATTTACAATAATTATATTACATATTTACATTACCATGTATGGTGTCGGGGACACCTTTACATTCTTGCGCCCTTCCCCTTGAGGCGGGGTGGCGTCTTTAAGGCTTTCCAAGAGGGAAAGCGGTTTCCCTGAAGGGGCATAGGGTGACTCTAACTGGCGGTAGGGTAGCGAGCGGGACGGCCTGCTCTGCTATAGTAAATTGATAGTAAAAAACCCCTCCTTGAAGATCCCCAGCATCCCTCCCGCTCGCGCCCGCGCCCAATCCTTTCCCTAGTTGGGGCCGGAATTACAAGGTCATGTCCGGTGTAAGTGCGGTTCCACGCCTTGATGACAGGCGAGGACCGAGAGTTGTCATTTTTAGAGATGGTAAACCAACTGTCCTGTGTCTCATACGGGTGAGTTGAGCTGTGGTTGTTATTACTATTTGCAATTTGCAGACTTTTTTTTCAAACTTATATGTTCCGACATTTTAAACATTTGATCCATTTGTACAGCAGTAAAATCTCTGTTATCACACTGCAATTGATCCCAGCAATTATTTTCCAAATGGTATCTGCATACGCGAGCAGAAAGGGGAAGCAGGGGAACATATATTCTGTGACGGCTGAACAATAATTCTTTGATGCTTCTGTGTATAAGTAGATGTTCAGCATTTGTAAAACATGAAAATATGCAATATCTTGAAGAAGCTATAGCACGTCTGTGTGTTTGTGACACTAATCTAGTAATTTCTGGACGACCTGTTTGTGAAAGCACATGTTAAGGTAGTGGTGGGGGTATAGGTATTGCAGATGGTTGTTGCAGATTCTCATCTTGACCATAGTCGTCGAGTGGCCTCATTGCATCTTGCTGATTTTGCCTTTGGATATTTCTCCTAGCAGCAGTCCAACATGCAAGGCAAACTCTAGTTGGAAGGGGAGCCTGAAATAATACACTCAATTTAATATTTAATTAAAAATTAATGTAGGCAAAAGAGATAAAAAAAGATCAATCTTCAAACTAAAATCTTTAAATTTTTATATTTAATCGTAGTTCAATCTAACCTATACTAATAATAAAACGAGGATAGATATTTTGTTTGTTTGTATCAAATAATTTAAAAACTACTGGACCAATTCTTTCAACAATAGAATGCTACATTATTAGGGAACAACATAGGCTACTTTTCATCCCTTAATTCTCACAGGAGCGGGAAGTTAAGCAAGTGAAACCATAGGCAAAAAACTAGTAAAAATTAATCAGACTTACCGGATGAGGAAATATCCATCGTATTATAATATTCCTTTCTGGGCATTCTAGATTAACCAGATGAGTGCGAGCCCGAAGAATTGATATTCCACATGCAAAACAGACACTTCTATGACCAAACACGGATACATGTGCAGAACCATCTTCAGATACTCGTTGCACTACCTCATAACATTCAAAGCATAGTCTGTATTCGAGAGAAACCTATAAACAAAAGATATTATTAATACACAATACATATAAAAAACATAGTATTGAAAATAAATTATAGTTTTTTACTACACAACGAAAGCCTTGTAAGTTCCCAGCGAACGATTCATGAACATGTGTTGTGCAAAAGCGAATGTAAAGCAATAACCTAAAACAGCCTCTATGTTCTAGGGTAGGTACCTATTTTATAACATGAGATACTCTAAGATGTTATAGTAGTTTTTAATTCACTAAATCTTAGATGATTTAAATATTAATAAGAAATGCATACAAATAATAAATATACACATTATGGTGTCACCCTACTCTGATCTATCGATTAGTATAGTAGGTTTATTAATTTATTAGGTTAAAATGATTTGTAGAAGGTAGTATAAACATAATATTAAAGTAGTATATTAACGGCCGGTTTCAATAACCATTGATGCAGCAGCCCCCCGATTGTCTAATTTTAAATCTATTGCGATCGCTTTCAGTTTGGAAGGTGTTGCACAACCATTGCTGCATAATACAATTACTTTTTTTCAACTGTCTTCAGAAACAAGCAATGGTTATACAACATCTTTCAAACCGAAAGATTTTATAGTTAGACAATTAGGTCCCAGGTACTAGTACGATCCATGTCGAATCAGTTTGGTAAACAAACACAATTCACACACGAAAAAAAGAGTCTCTGTCTCGAATATGTTCAGTTTCTATAGTTAGGGAGGAACTCGAATTCACTCGACGTAAAACTTAAAGAAAGAAGAAAATCACTAAAGCATTCAACAAACGAACTTAACAGAACGAAAGGCAAAACTGTAGTGACAGCTGTCAATTGTGTCAATGTATGCCTTTCATTAAGGTCATGCACGTCATTATTGCCATTCTAAAAATGTTATAAATCGACTATTTTTAATCGACTTGATTCGATTAAATCATTAAAACTAATTATTTATTTATGTTCTTAATAATGAACAATGTAATTATTTTTACTCAACAATATACTATTAACTGACATAGAGCATAGGTTAATTATGAATAAACATGTTGGGGGATTTAAAATGCGACAACTGTAAAAATGTCATAATACATGTATATACATAGTACATGTGGTACTTAATGAGACCTTGCAAACAATGCATACCCTCTTCAGCCACGTAAAACATTTTTTATATTAATATGTTTTGTTTTGGCAGCACTGAAACTCAATTAATCGATTCCGCTCATAAGGTTTCATCCAGAAATTCTGTCGTCTCTCATTTTCGCTTCGCAGGTATTTTAAAGCAGTTCCTCCATTTCATCTGCTTCTATATAACAAAAAGCTTTATTCAAAATGTAAACTAAATATAAAATACTCTGAGGTGTCATATGTGGGACACCCGATTGGAACGAAGTTCGCACGCATTCAAGATTATTTAAAAGAGACTTGTATATGTAGTATTAGTATTATTGTATGAAAGTAGAGCATAATGTCTGTATAACATCGATACTTACCTAACTTTATCAGCAATATCAATACGTTCCGATAGATACCCACATTTTTATTATGCAACAACAGAACCGAACCGAACAGAACCGAACCGAATGCTATGCTATCCTATGCTAGCCTAAGGTAGCCTATGCTTGCCAATGCTAGCCTATGCTTGCCAATGCTAGCCTGTGCTAGCCTGTGCTTGTCAGTGCTAACCTTTTTTTTTTTTTGACCCGGCGAAACTGTTTTACGCACTATCCCTGCCGCCTGGACGGGACGGCAAGGGGTGTGTGGGACTCTCCCCCACTAAAAACCCCGGGCATGCCCTCGAGTGGGAGTGGGAGTGGGACCCGGGATCCCGAACGTATACGCCGGGCCACCCACCCCCTGTATGAGAGGGGACTACTCTAGTCCCCACCTCGCGTGGGGGAGACTTAGGCATGTTAAGTCTCCCCCCAGTCAGGTGAGATCGTGCAATGCACGGGGGTTGTCAGCCCCTGCGCTGGCCTCAGCAGTTAGGACTGCATATTTTAAGGTATTTAGTAAAATTAAAAACTTATTTTTTAAAAGAGGTTTGATATCGTCACATAGCGAAACCACATTTGCCCATTTTCCTTTATCATTTTCACTTAATTTTAATACAAAAATATCTAATACACTACCGAGAGCGTTTATTAATAATAATTTTTAATGTTCATTAAACAGTTTTAATAAATATCAGTACATTCTTAAATGAAAATTTTGAGCATTCTTTTTTATTTCTTTCCAATATCGCACATTGTAACTTTTCTTGGTGTATTGCCATTTCTATTGCATGTTCCTCTCCATGCGTCTATTGTGTTTCATCTTTTTTAAACTTTTCGAATGTATCAACATATCGTTGACATTGTAACGATTTTTTTTGTTAATAGAAAGCGATATTTTACAAATTAAATCCAGGCTTATCCAACAGTATGTTTATTTGATCTCTGAACAGTTCTTACTGATAAGCATGTGGAGACTGCCGACTAACCCAGTCTAGTACGGGAAGAGTGACTTGAACTATCTAGTTTGTTTTTTATTTCTACCAAAGTTTTATAAATCAAATAAATTTAAAATTTATCAATAGAAAATTGTTGAGCGCTACCGCTGGTCGAATCCTAACGGACTCTAATTAATAGAATGGAAAGACTGCACCTTATTGGAGGTGTTGAGGCAAATGCTCTGCCCAACTCTCATAGGCCACCACTCGTGGAAACCGGACCAGAAGCGAGGAAAGTAAGGAAGTTGTACCACCAACTGGTACACGGGACTACTCGTACAACACAGCCGGGACCAAAAACCTCCTGGATGCATTGAGTATTTTAGTTGATATAATCTTAGCGCTGCCGACATAGTGTAGGCAAGCCCAACGGGAAAGAATATGATCTTAATATAATGCAGTGTGCACACGTTTAAAGTAAAGCCTAATCTGAGGCCATGAGAGCACCCTACAGACAGGATTTTCGCTTCGGCGACAAAAGTTGCTTATCCATCAGTTTACCACAAAATCATACCTTTTGGAGGAAAACGCTGTCTCACGATCGCTAATCAGCGATGTAAACTGGAGGAATTATAGGGCTAGGGTCGTCGTGATATTGACGCGTCGCCCACGCGTTCAACGTCGCGACAACACCAACGCCACAGTCGGCTCTCTCGATCACAGCTAATCTTTATTATGTTCGTTTTTTTTAAATAAGGCATTTATAGTATTGATCGTTTTGATTCATCAGATATTAAGTACTATAGGCATAAATTTATCTTACTTGGAGTCTGTTCGTTAGCATTGTGATTTTCATCTATTTGATTAATTATTTTAATTAATTTTGTTAATCCTAACAAAATAAAAGAACAAAATCTTGTTTTGTTTTATGATTAAGAACGAATTGAACAAAAACTCACAACTAAAATATTTTCTTCTACTTCCAATTCTGGGTGGTTAACGTTAGGTAATGTTGATGTTGAAACCTGCATGAAAAATTATATGAGGCATATATAACATGGAATTGGTTTCATTTTATTGATATGTAAAACTTCCATGAGGATATTTCAATCAATTGATCTGCATTTTAATGGTACATAATGACAAACTTTGCATCTGTTAGTTGCATTATCTTAATATTCGTAAAAACTAACCTAAACAATAATGGTAAACTCACATGTCCATCTGATACTCACATGTCCGTCACATGATATCAAAGGCTCATCAGAAGTTTCTGGTCTGGGCCTACCGCCTGTTTTGGTAGTCTCTTTTTTATGTGCTGTAAACCTTACGAGCGTTTAGTTTCATTCCTTTCCTCTGTATTTTCAATATTTAAGGTCTCGCTGTTGGTAATTCAATACATTAAACCTATGTGATAAAAGAGAGGCGCATTCAAATTTACAGTTAAACATATCGATCAGGTCTTTAATAGTACAGGAGGTAAAAAAAAAAATGTTGAATATGTATAAAACACGTAGATTTAATTTTAGTGTTACAAAGGCGAGATTACCCCCGCCTTTTTTTAAAAAAATATTTTGTTTATAATAATAGTTAGTACGATAGATATATATATTGAGAAGACTCACACCAAACTTCAAGTAAATCGGTTAAGTAAACATTTTCAAATATATAGTTTCGAGAAAAACGCGTTTAAAGTAGAGATGCAGCGAATATTTGGCCAACTATTCGGTATTCGGCCTATTCGGCCACTTTTTAGGTATTAGGTATTCGGCCGAATAGTGATCAGTATAGTAGGCCGGCCAAATGCCGAATACCAAAAAATATTAAAATAAAGACATGATTTCAGTCAGAAAGCATATATTTATTACGAAAAAAGGTACAAGAAGTTTTACTTAATATTTAAAATTAATCAAAGGCAGATTGTGGTGAATAAACACCAGTTTTTCTGCATTCGCTGGTAAAAGTCGATTACGTTTTTCTTCGTACACAAGACCTGCCTCTGAAAATAGTCTCTCACTGTACACACTACTGCATGGTGACGACATGTACACTTTAACAAATTTTGTTAGCTTGGGATACTGTTTGGAGTTCGCAGACCACCACTTGTAAGGGTCTGCCCTGCGATCGAGACGAGTGCACTTCAAATAAAAGTCTATTTCGCTAGCGATATCACTTTTTGCCATCCCCTCATTTGGCAAATTGGCAGCAGCGACTTCATCGTAGCATTCCCAGAAATCGTCATGGATTTCCTCTAGCGTAGTTCCACTTGCACCCTGTTCAGTGTTTCGTCTCTTATTAGGTGGCGCGAAGTCATCATTGCTACTAGACTCATCACAACTGAACTTTAATTCGTCCAAAAGAATTTTATGTCTGGCTCTCTCTGCCTGAACAGTTCCCAGGAAACTACATTTGAACCTCGGGTCAAGAAAAGTGGCGACCAAATACTTGTCGTTCTCATCAAAATCAAACCGCTTTTCAAGCTTAGTTTTCAGTGTGGATCGCATCATAAATAAGTCTGATGTCTTTGCTGCAGTTTCTGGCTTTTCTAGGTATTTGAGTAATATGGCGACATGTGGTATCACTTCAGATACGCAAGACAGACCAGAACTAGTTATTTTCGTTATCTCTTCGAACGGTTTGAGAAGTCTAACGCATTGTTCCATTAGCTCCCACTGAGATGGTGTCAAATTGTTCAACTTCTCGTGATCTGTTATGTACAAGGACACAGCTCTTTTCTGTTCCAGTAAACGCACCATCAAGTAATAAGTCGAATTCCATCGTGTGATTATATCTTGCAATAGTTGATGGTCTGGCAAGTTAAGTTCTTGACGTATGGATTTCAGTTTTTGTTGAGCTGTACCAGAGTGGTTAAAGTGGGTGACAATCCGTCTTGCGGCAGCTACCATCTCACATACTTCTTCTTGCGATTTTATAGATTCCTCAACAGATCGTTGTAGCGAATGAATAAAACATTTGGCAGAATCGTATTGTGCAGCTCGTACGCCTTTGATCATATTGGCTCCACTGTCATGGACGACTAAATGTATCTTCTTTTTAGGAATATCCCATACCTCAGCAATAGCATTGAGCTCTTTTGCGATGTTTTCACCTGTGTGTGGCCCGGAAAATGGCTTTATCGCCAGTACACCATGTTCAAGATTAAGATCTGGAGACAACCAATGTGCAGTGAAACTTAGGAAGCTACCGTAATTATGTTGATTTGTCCACATGTCAGATGTCACCGATATCGCAGCGGCTTGTAAGATACTGGATTTAATTTTAGTATGAATTCGGTCGTAAATGTCTGGGATGACATTCTCGGTCATATAAGTGCGACTCGGCATTTTATATTGTGGCACTGCTTTTTCCATAAGTCTTTTAAAACCAACTCTCTCAACCACAGCAAACGGTTCATTATCAATAGCAATCATTTCTCCTATTAAGTAATGATATGTTTTCGATCTAGAATCATTTATGTCCCATAACAATTTTCTTTCAGTTGTTTCTCTTAGAGTTAATTGTTTTTGTTTTGTGGTTGGCGATGGACCTGGTACTTCGACTTTTGATGGATCAATAGGTGCACTAGTCGTGAGAGCACCAGTTTTCTCATTTCCACTTGTTGAAGGTTTTTCTGCCAATATGGTAGCTCACAGCGGCCGAATTTTAGTCCATCCATATCTTCTTACAAGTTTTTACTTATAGGTATCCTTGTAAAGAAAAGAGAGATGCATGCATTTCATCAAACATTTGTTTATGTAGGTAGGTAGGTATAGTAAAGGTAGGTAGGTAAGTAGTAGGTACTCACTTGCTTTTTTTCCTTCTCCGCCACGCGAGATATTTGTTTTACATAACAAACACAATGCTAACTTAGGATTGTCTTTGCATATCTCAAAATATTTCCAAATTGGATTCTTAGTCTTACTGTTGGTCACTGAAGCCATTTTAACTTTTCTTCGACGTTTAAAGTTTCAATGTCAAATAATAACAAAATCAAGGAATCTGCAATCACAAAAACGTAAACAAATGCATCTTGCCGAAGAGCGGCGCGCGAATGAGGCAAACTAGCTAATCCTTCACCCCCGCGCGCGTTGCATCTAAACGGGTTGAAACATGTCGAGAGATACGCAGGCCAGCCGCCTGACAACAGCCGAATATTCGGCCCCGCCGAATATTTGGCTATAGGAGCCTAATATTAGGCCGCCGAACATTAGGCTACAGGAGCCTCGCCGAATATTAGGTATTAGGTATTCGGCCAATTCAGTATTCGCTGCATCTCTAGTTTAAAGTTTTGGGTGTAATTACACCCTGAGGCAACCATAAAATTACATTTTATACTCACATTTATTCAATCCGCGATTCCTGCTCCATACATTGGGCCTTCCTCTATTTCAAAAAAGTATTTTCTCCGTTTCTTTCTTCTAAACGAGCAGTTCTGGCTTCTTTGGAGGCGTCAGATATTCGGATTTCTGAGCGTTTAATCCGGACATTATATCGTCTCGTTACTAAAAAGCTATGTATATCTCTGGAAATAATTAAAATTTTAACAAATCCTTTTAAGGACATATTCTTGAAAGGTTAAGCTTTAAGAATATCAAAAATCCTTTTTTTTTTGCGAATTTCTACACTAGAATACCCCTTTGAAGTTTCAATAGCTGTCCGAAAAGTTGATCACATACAAGTCCCAATGGAATTAGCTCTGCTTGTGCTACTTGGCAAACTGTTTTAAAATATTCTGGGGAGTTACTGAGCATGAAAGCTCAGCTGGAAAAAATCCTTATTTCCAAACATTTTATAATTTTTTGAATTATAATTGAAATGTGGTGTCAAAGCCATCTCGTCAAAAACAATTGTGCAGAGTTTTTCTTTAATGAACCAATTTTGTATTTGATTTTCAATAAATTAAAAAAAATTATGTATTGAGTCCTGGTTCCTGAGACAGATTTTCAGATACTCTGTTCAATGTCCTCATATATGGCAAGGCAAGTATATTTCCCAATAGTCTGTATGTTTTTGGACTTTGCTTGTACAACACCAGAGCTCGCAATTTTAAGGGTGAATCTTCTTGTCATTTTATTATGTCTGCATTTCCTTAACAGCGTCAGTAAGGGCGACTTGCACAGTCGCTCTCGTCGTTGTCGTCGTCGCTCACAGTCCTTTGTTTAGAAGATGAAAATGTTTAAAAAGTCTCATTATAGACCAGCGATTGAATCATTTCTATTCGTTGTGAGGCTGTGCTACCCAAACTGTCAGCAGCAATGTTTTTCACATATTTTTCAATCTTCTTTTTTTTGATCCCATATTTTTGCAACCTATAAAAAAAGTCCTTGGTTCAAAATTTTTGAAAGAATTTGTAATTTATTCTTTACTTTATAGCATGATAAAGTAATCGAGCAGTTACTATTTTCTAAGTAATGGAAAAAGGAAAATTTTGTTTCTGTGTAGCTCTTTTGACGTGTTTGTTTCTGTGTAGTTCTTTTGACGTGGTAATTCTAAGGCCCTATTCAGTGCGACGCAGACGGTCCGCACGGGGATGAGGTTTTGCGTCCGTCGCGGATGAATATGTCGTTCAGTGCGATGCGGATCGTGATCGAGAGTGATACAGTGTCACGGATAAAAGTTTGAATTTGGTGATTGCGGCTTATTTATTAAACAACAGAAGAAGAAGACGCCATGGTAGAAGATTTAATATGCGTCCACTGGTTGAGAAAAGACTTCTTAAAGGAGAATTTGTATCCTTGTTTTCGGACTTGCGGGATGACGAAATGAAATTCTTTAAATATTTTAAGATGTCCATTAGGACATTTGAAGAGTTGCATGCGAAACTAGAGCCATCTTTAATGCGTTGCGATACACCGCGTGTTAAAAAAAAAACCGTCAGCCCTAAAACAGCATAGAGTATACATTAAACAGAAATAATGGACGCTGTCCCTTTTTTTGTAACCATTGTACTTATTGAAAACAACAATATCGAAGCTTTGCAAATTTTTCGATAGGATTTATCGAAGTACACCGACATTACGATCAGCTATTTCAGTTCATTGACTTCTAAATGAAAGACTATTATTTTTTCAGACTGGTAACATCTATCGGTATTTAGTGCCGACGTCACAGGAAAATATTTTATCTGGTTATGTATACATATGTAAAAGCCAAATATCGGAACATGCAAAACATCAACACGTAACGTCTTTTGAAGAATAATAGTAGAATTACCTTATTTAGATTGTCTCATTCCACTCCACCATGCCATTACATGAACATATCAGGCACTGCACCGAATTAACCGTGTGCTATGCTCATAGGTAATCCGTATAATATCTGTTTACGAAGCGTAGAACATTCTAAGAACAATAATATTCATTGTATTTCATATTACAAAACGATATCCACTAGACAATCACAAAATCAATTTCATTTATGCTAGAATAATAATAATAATAATAATTTAAAACAAATACTGTTAGCTGTTAGCCGTACCGTATCCATAAATTTTTCGAACTCTAGATAGATGAATATTCCTTACATAAACAAGAAATACAATTGATTATGAAAATAAGTATAACATAACGTACAATTGGCGGCAGTACAAGCAACCTTCTTCATCTTTAAATGCTTAATCTTTGAAATAAAATTTCGGCGTCCAGTCTATTTAAAATTATGTTAACCTGGTACTCGTACCTACAATCTTCGGTACGAAAGGCGTCAGCGTAGCAGATATAGTCGTGACAAAAAGTGATCAATAAACATGTACAAACATAGGAAATTGAGTTTATATCTTTGGTAATGTTTTACAATAAAAAGTGCAGGCTTAAAAGCCATATTCATAGTCCCACCTAAATCCGACTAAATAATAAACAGATGCTTACTCTTATCTTACTACATTAATTCGAGTTAATAACAACCGAATCGAGTAAAGTGAGATGCTACCTTAGAACCAATGATAGTGATCTTATGGCTTCTTTCAAGAAAAAAACGCAGACTTATTAAATAATTTTACATGCACTCCTAAAAATATTATCGGTAAAATTCATTCTGCAACTAATTCACTTATTCCTCGAGTGTACAAAACTTAAAAGAGAGAAAGATAGAAACGGAACAACATCATTGTGATGGCGCATGGCGGAGTGGCGAGTCGACCGATGCTAGTGTGCGTAGATATAGGCGAGGTAGTCAACATTTGGTATGGATTTTTATTTATTGACTTATAATTTACCACGGTCTTTTAAATTATTAAAAAACTGCATTTAAAGACAGATAGTAATCACTTTTTTAAAATAAGTTAATGAATTCCTCACCACTGTATGAAATTTTGCCAGACAAAATTCTATTTATGTCTCTGCACCAGCTGTACTTATAACAACAATTTTATTGTAATATTAATATAATATTCTTTTAATTCCTCTTTATGTACTGTACAATTAAAAGAATATGCAATTAATAAATTACATAAATATCGTATCGTTTTTCTTGTTTTATTGATAATGATATTTTGAATGATAATGTTACACACAGAATTTCTTCAAAATAATTTTCTGCAATAAGCCAACTTTTTCCCTCATATTGTTTAGATCTTGTATAAGATGTTTTTGGTGACTCTGAAAGAAGCAATATTTTTCTGCATTGCTGATAAGACTTTTTAAACATTTGGTTATTATCCAACCGTACATATAAATATTTTGTCCAGCATCTTCAATGAGATTATACTCTTATAGTAACTCTTCATTAAAAATAATTTCGGATTGTGTGTGAATTAGGCGCCAGATTTGACTGAAAATGTATTTCTGCATATGTTTACAAAGAAATCAAAATTTTGTAGATAATAGTTGTCATCCTTTTCTCAATTAGATTTTATCGAGGGACGTGTTTTATAATTATTAAGTAATAAAGCCTTCAATACCCCTTCAAATGAAATAGTATTGAGGGCAACGTTTCTGACACCACTACTTCTTATGCTCCTAAAAAAAATCGCCTGGATCTTGATTTAAGTTTCTTGTCAGCAATGCATCTAAACAGTATTTTCTGACATTATTTGTCAAATTGCTTCCACGCCTTCAATTGTTTCAATTAAATTCTTTAATGAAGGTACTATTTTTTCAGATTGCAGAATTTTATTGTTATCTTTAAATCTTTTAATAATGGATTTATGAATTACATTCCTTTGGAAAATCTCCTCTAGTAGTAAGGTGCTCAATGATGACTGCAACACTATGATACCTAGAAGAGAATGATATTCTTCCGCTACGGCAGTCTGGGTTCCGTGGGGGTCATAGTACGGCTACTGCCCTTGCTGATGTTGTGGATGAACTTCTGACTGCCCAGGATGAGGGAAAGGTCAGCATGCTACTTATGCTTGACTTCTCTCGCGCATTTGACACGATTAATTCTACTTTGCTGTTGTCGAAGTTGTCCTATTATGGAGTTGAAAACAGCAGTATAAGATGGTTCCATAGTTATTTAACAAACAGAAAACAGTGTGTGGAACTCTTGGATGTAAATGGAACCAAATCACGCTCTTCTCCTCTCCCTGTTACCCGTGGGGTGCCCCAGGGGTCCATTCTGGGCCCTGTCCTCTACCTCCTCTACAGCGCTGACATGATCAATTGCTTCCAGTTTTGTAAATATCATCTGTACGCAGATGATGTACAGCTTCACCTGTCTTTTTTTCCAATTGAACATGCCGACGCTGTGGATAGGGTGAATGATGATCTGGTTAGGGTTGCGGATTGGTGTCGGTTGAATTGTCTTGTGCTAAACCCAAAGAAAACTAAGCTTATGTTGGTTGGTTCTAGCAAGAGCATCAAAAGGTTTGGCGATACTCCTATCCATATTAGGCTTAATGGTGAGTTTATCGAGCGTGTAGATAAAGTAAGGAACCTGGGACTTGTCTTTGATGGCAAACTTAATTTTGAACATCATATTGTTGAATGTGCACGAAATTGTT